TTTTTTTTTTTTTTTTTTTTTTTTTTTTTTCTTTTTTTTGTCTTTTTTCCGTGTCCGGCAACGGATCGCAACCCTCAGTGTTGCCCCCGTACCAGACCGGGGACCGGCAACGGGATTGCAAGCCTCGGTGTTGCTCCCGCGCCTCGCTCAGCCAGTGAGCGGGAGCCGGTCTGTATGTGGGATCTGAACCCTCGGACGGGAGCGCCGCCGCGCTTCCCAAGCGGCGCACTATCCACTGCGCCACCGGGCCGGCCCCCTCTGGCAATTCTTTGACACTCTTCATGGCTTTTGTAATTAGGTCCACGTTCCTTAGCTTACACTAAGTTGTCCGGGACAGGTTCCTGTGACTGTCAGCCTGATGGAGTTTGGATGTGTTGTCCCCTCCAAAACTCATGTGGAAATTTGATCTCCAATGTGGCAGTGTTGGAAACTGATTGAGTCATGGGGGCGGATCCCTCACAAATGGATTAATGCTCTCCCTGGGGGGGAGGGGTAGTGAGTGAGTTCTCGCTCTGTTAGTTCCTGTGAGACCTGATTGTTTAAAGGACCCTGGCACCTCCTCTCTTGCTTCCTCTCGCCATGTGATCTGCTTGTACCCGCAAGCTGCCTGCCACTTTCCACCATGAGTAGAAGCAGCCTGAGGCCCGTGCCAGATGCAGCTGTCCCAGAATCATAAGCCAAATAAACCTCTGTTCTTTATAAATTACCCAGTCTCAGGTATTTCTGTTATAGCAACACAAAACAGACTAAAGCACAGCCTACACCAGCCTTTTCATTCAGACACAGAAAATTTTACCAGCTTTTAGAAATTCATCTTTCTAATACATGCCTCTGAGGTTCAGATAGGCATATAATTTGACTGAGAGAAACTTGGTAAACATGACAATTTGGTCAAAACTTAATTTCCAGTTTTGGTGTACCACAATGATGCCTCACAACTCTACCCTCTCTGTCTGGGAGACTAGCTATGATTTTTCAGCCAATCATTTAAGGGCTTTTGGAAAATTTAAAAGTTACAATAACCAAATATCCAGATAAGGGATGAGCTGAAACAAACAAAATATCCAACACCAAAGGACTAATCAAAATAATCTAAACGTCCAAAAGTTATTGAAATTGCTTAAATAAAATGTGGGTTGTATAATGGTATGTAGGCTATCTTCCCCTTTTTGTGGAAAAAAATATATATATTTGCGCATTCAAATATGTGTTAAGAAGGATTGAAAAAGATACACTAAAGGGTTATCAGTAGTTCTGTGTGGGTGGGATTATGGGGATCTTTTATGTCCTTTTGTTTATATATATGTTCTGATTTTTCTTAATGATCACATACTATTTTTGTAGAAAGAGAAGACCATATAAAAACTGTACCATAGTCCTATTCCTTCACATGGCAGAAGGTGAGAAAAAAATAGTCCTATTCTTAATCCACCAAAATTATCAAGACTAGGGGGAAAAAACAACTGAGATATTAACTTTTCACCAAATTGTTGTTTTTACAGAATTACTTAAGTCCTGTGATTTCTGGCCATTTCTATACTACCCTGTTTCCTCAAACTCAAATATCCTTCCCCATTCCCCACCACCATCATTCATTAGACTCTTTGATTTTGTTTTTGTTTTTGTTTTAGCCTGATTATTTCTCTATCCTTTAAAAGCCCAGGTTAAATGTCACCTTCTCTGAGAAGCTTTCCTCGTCCCCTTATCTGCTTTATGTTAAGGGTCTATGATAAAAAGTAGCTCACAGGCTAAATGCATCTAACACCGATTTTTGTGCAACCGTGAACTAGGAAGAGATTTTACTCTTCTGGAAGGGTTGGTTCCTTTAAGATTCCCTCTGCTCTGAGGTAGAGAACACTTTCTAATTCGACTTGGTCTCCCCAGCGTAGAGCAGTGTGCCTTGTACATAGGAGCCACTTGATAAATAAATGCGTGGATGCATGAAGTAATGGTGTGAGCTCCCTCCATAACACTAGAATGTAAGTTACATGAGGACAGGGGTTTTATCTCCTTTGTTCACAGTGTGTCTCCAGAAGAGTATCTGGAACATGGCAGGCACTCAGAAAATATGAGTGGAAGTTAACTGCACCAATGTTGGTACCATATTTTTGAGTTTTATAAGTGTTAGGTCAATTCTTAGTCTTTTATTTCATGCTATTTGGTAAGTGATGGAAATAAAAGTCTACCTTAAGAGCCTCCAGAAACAAAGAAGAGACAGTTTTAACTTTGTCATGAAAGGAAGTAATTATGAGGTCTTTTCAAGAACATATTGATTTATCCCAGTCTTTAATGCATCTCAATTTAGACATCACAGCTTGTTATTACCTTTTCCTTTTAATCACTGGTAGCAACTATCTCAGGGCAGGTGTTAAATCAAGATCCCGCTGACACTGAGTTATTAAATACCTGTGGCAGCAGGGCCCGTGAAGCAAAGTGAGACTCAGCATTCTGGCCCCGTTTCAAATCAGGATGAGATGTACTTTCAGAGATTAATGTGCACGTATTAATCATAGCCTAAACACTTCATCTGATCTTGGATAGTCTCTCTCCCTGTGAGTTGAAAGCTCTTTGTAGAGGATGAACTAACTAGTTTTCATATCAACTTTATGGGTTTGCAGGGAGGATGAATTAAGATCCCTGTCCTGTGCTGAATAATGATCATCATAATACCTTGTATGTTTACAGTACTGCAATCTGAAGTAGCATGTTCGAGAAATGTTTTTCCTTAATGACAAATGTACCCACTCAATATCTGACAATTTCATACTTGTCTCATTATGGGCTTTATGACATTTTGTTGATGATTGAGTGTGAGGGTCTGTATCTTTTTTAAAATTTTGTGAAGAGCCAAGTAAGTGCATGCTGCTCTCTCCTAAGGCACTAAAAGTTCCAGCAAGGCAGACTTTTAAAATGCAAAGGACAAAATATGTCTCCTAGTCACTCACTTCTGGTGAAAAGGCCTAGCCAGTCCCCGCAGCCCAACCAGCTCCTGGCAACACAGTGCTAGCCTTGCCCTCGTTCAGGAGGGCTGCCACATACCCTCTGCTGGGGTTCCTGCATGGCTTTATCAGTGACCCAGTTTATCAGCAGACCTTTGCTCCTCTGTCACATCAGGATGGGGTTGGAAGCTGTTCCCTTCTCACTCCTCCCCTTCAATTTAGAAGAACCCTGTTCTCACATACACAAGGGTCAGGGGAAAGGAAGGTCTGTTTGGGCTTTCTGTTCTAAATTCACACACACATGCCTTTCAAAAACCTAAATTTTAGCTTTTATTTCTTTGAACAACAAGAGTGAGCATGATTATAAACACTGATGGAAAGAGGTGAAAATAATGAAGTCACTACCAAAGGAAATGGAAATCTCCACTGCTGTTCTAAGGCTGAGAAACCTTTGAGTGTTTTGAGTCTGGATGGAAGCAGAAAGGTGCAGAGAGGGAGCATGCTTTTTACAGTCAGAGATACCTGATTTCACATTCAACCTTAACATCTGTGCACCTCAGTTTTTTCATCTATAAAATGGGAACAGTAACTTTTAATGTTGTGAAAAGCATATGAGACAACTTAGATACTTCGGAAAATGTCAGTCAGTCACTCACCACCCCTCTCACATGGAGTCAGGGCACTGACTTAGCTGATGGGCCTCTGGAGTCCTCTGTAGGTAGTTAATATCAGTTGTTCTTACTGATTAAGAGAACAGCTGAACAATAGAAACTGACTAAAAGAAACAGGCCCGAGAACCATTGCAGAAATTTTCTAGTCAAACACAGTTCTCTACATTGGGGATAATCCAAAACTCTGTACATAAAAGCAAATAATTATTGAATGGGTGGCCCAGAAAGCTTGCCAAAACCACTGTTATAATCTGTAAGACACAAAGGATGCATTGCTAATCATAGTTAATACAAAGGACTTTAGAAGGGATTTATAGCTTTTATAAATTTTAGTGGATCACTAGAGTGGAGTGAAGGTAATCTCTGATGCATGTGTCTTATTTGAATGCAGGCTCTGGGGACTGCAAATACATATGCCCATGCCCCTAGGTGCATTTTATAAATGTGGGCATCACCATGATTTATGTAGGGTTAAAAAAAAAAAAAAAAAAAAAAAAAAGGCGGAGACCCACTGGACTGAGGCTTGTCCACAGCGAGTTCAAAGGGAGACTTGAATGGTGTGTCTTTAGCATCAGCCACAAGGTAGCTCTGAATTTAGGGGGCTTATCTCCCAGGCATTTTCCTAGCACTTATTTCCTCCCTACCAAGAAACTTTCAATTTTTTTTTTCCTTCTAGAAATAGTTGATTTTAATAATAAATGATTGAATTGACTTCTGAGTATCTATAGGCCTCATGGAAATATAGGAGCATCAGCTGCTGTCCTGGGTCTAACATCAGTGAATCCAGGATGATATTAACCACGTTGGGGCCTTTTCCCAACCTTTTATCTCACTACCAAAAGAATCTTTTCAGAAAGTTCTTGATTCCAGTCCTTCACAAAGATATCAGACTTTCTTGGGCATGAAGAAACAAAGAAATGCAAATGCTAAGGACCCAAACCCTTTTTGGGTGAGAATGTAATATTTTTAATATTCAGCAATGTTACATACACACCTGACAGATATATCAACTCACAGAAAAATATTAGTCTGGCTTTAAAAAAAAAGAAAAAAAAAAAAAAAACGCTTTCATCCAAATTACAAAAATAACAGCACATTTTGTTAACTCATTACAGTTTAGAGTTATCAACACATCCGCAGAGATGAAGAGCATTTTTAAATTAACTGCTTCTTGCCAATACAAATCTCATGACATAAAAAAATTTATTTTCATATTTACAGAAGAAAAATGCTTATTGTTTCTTAAAATTCTCTTTGTAATTAATGGGTGAGGCTATATTTTAATGTCAGAGAACATTTCAAATGGAAGAAGTTATTTTAGAAACATCTCACAATGCATTTTATTTAATACCATTGAACAGTTCTGCATCCTCTTCTAAAGATCATGTTTTTATCGCAGAGCTTCAGGAACTTCGACCTACAAAAACAGGGGATTTTCTTTCAATGAAACAACACAAATGGTAATGTGAAAAATATTAGTAGGGTATGGCTCTAGCAGTGTTCCCTGAGAAGAACTCAAATATAGATCGATTATTGCTGTATGGTACTCAAATCTTATAAATTAGGTTTTAAATTACTTGCAACTCTGTGGCAAAATTTTTGATAAGTGTTGAATCCTTTTGGAATGTAGATTATACTCTCTGATTTTCTTATTAAGGAAATTGGGATTTTTAAATGTTGGACTGTCTTAAAACGGTCCTGGCCTTTCTAGGACTGAGATGCTAGGAAGGTGGCCCAGGCCCACCTTTCAGATGGAAATGTGCCTGATCCTAATGCTTCAAACTTGATATGCTTGCTCTCACATACTAGAATATTTGAAATATTATTAAGTAATATTGAGAAGGACTTTGGTACCGTCATGCAGTGGAGGCCGACTCATTTACTAAATCTGTGCCCACATGTCTGTTCTCGGGTTACTTACCCGCCTTAGCTGTCTCATGCTGCTTCCCCGAATTGCTTCCATGAGATCCTCATGAGCTGATCTCTGTGGGGTGGAAGGTCGGGAACTGTCTTCTGTTTTCTTCTCTTGCACTGACCTAAGAGAATTTTTTATTTCCTTTAGGATATTGTTTGGCTGTTTCTTAGCCTTTTTCCCTTTTTTCTTTTTCTGTCCGTTCTGCAGAGCCCGTTGGGCGCTCTCCTGTTGTTTGATGACTTCTGCAATATTTCGGGTGATGAGCTTTTTCTCTGGGAGAGGAGGGGGAGGGGGAGGGGGAGGAGGTGGCAGCCTCTGGGGAGGAGGAGGGGGAGGAGGGGGAGGAGGTGGAGCTACTACAGGAGATGAGGGACGGCTCCTCCCAGTCTGGACTTTCTTGGGGAGTTTGGGGGAGGACCAGGGAGAGTGCCTGGGGGATGCATGAGGTGAAGAGCCAGGCGTTCCTCTTTGCCAGACTTTGGTCCTGAGATTGGATCCTCCATCGTATCCCTCTTGCTGTTTCTGCTCCTGCATCCGCTTCTGCCTCTGTTTATCCATATTTCTTGTCAAGATGCTTGTCATGCTCATCCTTGGTCCTGGGAGCTCAAAGTGGTAGCCCAGCCTCAGCAGCGTGGTGTTGTCCTTCAGCAGCTTGACGATCTCCATCTCCACCTGGGAACCCATGATGTGCCTCTGGTTGTGGAAGCGCAGCTCCGTGAGCACCGTGTTGTGCTGCAGAGCCCTCATGATGGCCAGGATCCCCCTGCCCGTTATGAAGTTGGACTCGATGTTGATGCTGGTGATGTGCTTGTTGACTCTGAGCATCTCGGCGATGGCGGTGGCCGCGCCGTCGTCGGCGTGCGTGTTGGCCAGGCTGAACGTCTTCACCACCGTGTTGTCCTTGAGGGCTTCAGCGAAGCGGCTCAGGGTCTGCGTGGTGATGTTCTCGATGTTGTTCACGTTGACCTCTGTGGTGGCCGGGTCATTGCGTTCAATCTTCTCCAAAGCATCCTCGATAACCGTAGGATTCCCACAAGGGTGAATGGCAGCGGGTGACTCTGTGTTCCTTCCACTGTTGCCCTCGGTCAGATGTATGTTTTCTATTTGACTCGTAAACGTCTTTGGCTTAGAGTTGTCAGAATTCCCGCTGTGGTAGTTTGCGGTTCCGTTGATACCCTTCGCAGTTCCGGTCCTCCTCTCCTCCTCCTCCTCCTCTCCCTCCTCCTCCTCCTCCTCTCCCTCCTCCTCTTCTTCCTCCTCTTCCTCCTCCTCTTCCTCCTCCTCTTCCTCCTCCTCTTCCTCCTGGGACTCGTGCACCTGCTCCTCCTCTTCGGTGTCCACCTCCTCAGAAATCTCACTGTTACTTTCAGTAAAGATAAGCTCTTCCTCACTCTCCTCTTTGTCTTCTTCTGCAACCTAAAGAGTATGGCATCATCATTCAGTTTTTCATTTTTAAGCACATTTTTTAATTTTCAAAAGTAACACGTGGCAACTAATACAAAAGTCTATCATGGAAAAAGCTAACTCTCTCCTACTGCTGACCTCTCTATTTCAGGTGACCAAGGTTAAGATTTGTTGTCAATACCTTTTTGTATAAATATCTCCTTTGTTTTTCACAGGATATCCAGAATTCAATTGATAGAATAAAAATATTATCATTTTGCCAATTCGATCACGTAAGTTGGAACTTCAGCTTTAGAAAACCCTTGATGCACTTTTCAATCTCTTGACTACTGACTCTGAAGTACTTGATTCCTTGTCTACTCAGAATTTAGCAAATTCAACCCGCCCTTGTGAAATCATCACTTTGTTCTTCCTTATTTCTCCATACCAAACAAACAAATGACAACAAAAATATGCAAAATGTTAATGAGTTCTTTTTTTTTTTAATGTTCAAAAATTCTTTTTCATATTTATCATCAATATCAGAAGTGACAGGAGCCAAGTTCCCTTTGCCTCGGCTTGTTTCAGTGTAGGCACAAGCAGGGGTGTCATTTGCTCCTTCAGCATTTACTTCTGTGGTAGAGCCCTGCATAGGGACTCGAGACTGCACACCACCTGAGACCTTTCGCTGTGCCTGTCCCTCATCTGGGGAAGGGAAGCCTAGGGGGGCAGGCTGCTACTCAGGACAGCAGGAGGTCAGACCCATCTCTATGCAGGAAAACATTCGGGTCACCCTTTTCAGCAAATCAACTTGAAGCTAGCTCCAGCTAGCTCAGGATTAAATGAGATAGACTGCAGAACACCATGTGGGAAAGATAATCACCCCTGGCACTTAATAGATTGTAACCAGTACTGTGGGACAACAGAAAACAGTAGAAAATCTTGAAGCAAGCCAGTGCCCAGCCTCACGGTCTTAAATTTTTTAACATGTATCAATTACAAAAGGCTTTCAGACAAACACAATTTCATTTTATCTTTGTCTTTCCTGTTTATACGACTCACTGTACAAAGATACCCAAGTGATCCCTTCTTCCTCTTTCTCTTTCCATCTTTTCTGATTTTTTTTAAAAAAAGGTGTTTGGAAATTGCTGACAGAGTCTGGTTTTCCCTCATGCTATCTTTTTAGTCCTTTCTCTTTATCTTCTCTAAAACCCTGGTGTCCTCCCCTGTCCTCAAAGCCCTGAGTCTTTCCTCTATGTTAGCAACTTTTTTGTGACCCCCGAGGGCACCTGCCTGAGGCATGTGGATTGAGCTTTGGAAAACACTGCACTTGTCTCAGGTTTGTTTGCCCAGTTGCTATCACAAAATAGCCTCCAATACCCACTTGTTTGGAGTGGCAGGCACCAAGTGATGGCCTGGGGAAGGGGTTAGCCACTCCAGTCTTAATTTACTTACCTCTTTAGGAGTAGCTGGGAGAGGTATAGTGTATGCGTGTGTAAGATAGAGAGAGAGAAATGTAGGAATGCTTGGTGGCAGCTGGCTGTAAGTCACAACCCAACAACACAAGAGAAAGAGCTTGGCTCTAGCCACTCTTGGCATGTATGGGAGAGAGAAAGCCTTATATGCCCAGCAATGGAGTAAATGGATTAACTGGAGGAAGGAAAGAATTGTAGGCTGAGCTGTCCTCACCCCCACCCCACCCCCAATCCCTTTGCATATCATATTATTCTAGTCCATGTCAGCTGTGTGTGCACATATGTGTTTGCAGGTGTATTTTTAGCTGCTTTAGTATTTGGAGGAAAGGGGCCTGTCTCACAATCCAAGACATACTGGCTTTTATGCCACCATTAAATTTTATCCCCTTTAGTTTTTTAAACACCTTTAGGCTCTATCTGCAAGAGCTATTTTCCACTATAAATGTACCTGAAAAGATAATATCTGGAACTTATCTAGCCACTTGAGTTGTCATTGTAACATCCAAATGACACCTCTTTCAGAAAGCCTTCTTCGACACCCCTTTAAATCATTTCTGCAATGCGTTTCCATGACATTGTATTTCCCCCAATAAAGTCTATTTTAATTACTTGTTTGTCATTTTCCCCAGTAGCCTGTTAACTGGGTGAGGGCAGAAACCATGTCTGATTTGCTCACCTAGCACAGTGCTTAGCATGTATAGGGGCTTAATGACTACTTGCTAATTAAATGGATCTAAGTTGACATTGATAAGCAGCAGGTGAGAGTCTGGACTAGACCCAGGAGAAAGTACTGACAGGTGCAGGCTGGGGTAAGGTGACCAACTGTCCCCATTTGCGTGAGCCAAAAGGGTTTCCCAGGATGCGGGATTTTTAGTTCTAAAATCTAGATAGTCGTGGACAATCTGAGATGGTTAGTCACTCTAGGTGGGGGACATCTGGAAGAACACCAGAAGGGAGAAAGATGTCTAGGGAGAGGAGGTAGGAGAATACAAAAAACAAACTTTGCCGACTTTATAAACTATCCTGGCACTAGGGGGACTGTCTTATCCAGATCTCCTAAATGCCATTGTTCTGGAGTTAACCCTGATCCTTTGGAGAATGGAGGTGGGGAAGTTGGGCTAGAGTGAGGGGGTGGGGAATGAGGTGGTGGGGTGTGAATAGGGAGCAGGTGAATGCTGGTGCACTTAGAGAATAAATCAGACGATGAGGAGGAGGGGCCAACCATTTCTCCTGATCGTCTCCCTGGCGTCATTGCATGAACAAGGAGACAAGAGGCTTAGTTTTCAGCTCTGGTTGTGTTTCTGCCCATAAACAACTGGTTGACTTTAGACAAGTCACTAAACCTCTTTGTGTCTCAAAGAAACTACAGTATAATTGAGTGGTTCTTAAATTTTAGCATGTGTCATAATCACCTGGAGGACTTGTTAAACCACAGAATGTTGGGCCCTATCCCCAGAGTCTCCCGTTCAGCAGATAGAGGGGAACCCTAGAATTTGCAGTTATAAGAAGTTCACAGGTGATGCTGCTGCTGCTGTTTGACACCTGCAATATTGAGATGGTCTTTGTGCCAACAAAGCTTAGTCTGAATTTCAGTTCTACTTTCAAGCTGTTAACCTCGAAAGAGTTTCTTAGCCTCTTCTAGTCTCAGTTCTCATGTGCAGAAGGTAAGAAGGAAATGAGAGAACGTGAGAAAACTCACTGGCTCCTGTGCCTGAGATCCAGCAGATGCTCAAGCTAGGGGAGCTAGGCTGCTGGGTCTTCAGCACCCCTTGGAGCCCTAATGCAGCCTAAGTTTGTGTGAACCCAGGTGGCAGAAGACTGTCATTCAACAGGTGTTGCACACGATTTCATAAGCCTTTACAGAGCCAGCAGCCTCATCACCAAGACCCCCAGCTCCTCCTCATGGTGCCCACTGTGCTGCCCCTCACTCAGGCAGCTGTCCTGCTCCCCACCCACCCCTCAGCTGCTCTGAGTTTTTCCTCTGGTAGGAATGGATTTACACCCTACATCGGCAAGCTTCTGCTCAGCAGTCCTTGTGACTACAGAGACAGCTGGCCAGCAGGCAAAGTGTAGTGGGAGAAAAGTTAACTAGCTGAGAAAGGAAGCAAAGTTCAACAACACAGCAGCCTCCCTAATCGAGCTGATAAGCCATTGGCAGGGATCCGCAAAACCTTTGGCAGGAGCAGGTGGGTTTCATCAACAGCTGACAACAGGCTTTGTCCTTCGGTTCTCACTGCTGTCATGACATTATGACATTAAAATGCCTTTGCTGGGTTGTTGCTACTGTTGGTTGTATGTCCTGGAAATTAAGACAATTTTATTCTTTTTATTAAGGAAACTCTTTAATAACTGTAATAAAAATGTCATTATATTTTATTAAACTTTTGACACTCATTCCACATCAGAGGAAAAAAAAAACACCTCTGAAAATTATGGTTGTGGAGGAACTGACCAGCCCAAATCCCGGCTTGTCATTTGTGTCCTTCCTTCTCCCCTCTCCTTCTAGCTCCTCGATACAGGCGGCCACTGGGGCCTTGGCAGAACCTGGCCTGATCCCAGTGGCCCTTCCTGCAATGACTGACATGGACAAAGCTCACACATATCTTGCTGCAAATGTGTCACACGCACCCTATCATCAAGATCATCTAACAGTGCCTAGATTAGTACTGTGGGACTCATGCCATGGGCTTTAGGCCATTTCAGTTTTAGATGATGTCAATGGAAGGCAGGGGTTTTAAACTGTTGCTCCTGAACCTATGTTCTTCCACAAATTCAGGAATTTCTTTCTTATGTTAACATTTTATTGCTATAACTATTTTCCCAGAGTATAGTCTTTTGAACTTCCTTCTGATAATGACTCATTTGGAAAATTCAAAGTAATATTTACTGGGAAGTACACAAGAACTTAACAAATTCGAGCTCTGATATAAGCACATTTCTGGGTCTCAGAATAACTATCATAAAACAGGAAGGAACTTAGATTATCATCTACACAGCCATACTTAACTTGGGTCATCAGATGGGTTTCAGGCTATGTGTCATCATTTTGAAAGTCTATACAAAAATCTGTGTATATTTGCACAAGCACATGTGCATTTTCTTGAGGAGAAGGCCTATAATTTACCACAATCTCAAAGGAGTTCTAGATTCACAAAAGAAACACTGTATCTAACTCCCTCAATGGACAGATTAAAAGAGAATTCTGAAGAAGTGACTATCTGTTCAAGGTCTCACAATTTGGGGACTAGAAATAAGGCCCCCTGACTCTCAAACCCATGTACTTCCCACCACCCCACACTTTTTGGTGATGGAAAAAAAGAACTATTTTTGCTGTAGCCACTATCATAGTCAAAGAAACTGAGTTCTTATAGTAGAAAATAAATGTACTTAAATGAAAAAAAAATATATATATATATAAATCAGAAACAGATACTACGCCACATCACCAACTTACAGCTCTAGTAAGACTTATGTTTTGCAAAATATTTAAACACACACCTTGGTTGTGAATTATTTTCCTCTCGAGGTTCCCATTTTTAATCAATCAGAAAACCTCAGCTAAGAATGTTACATATTATGATTGATCGGGTGGCCACAGAAGTTGCATAACTATTTCAGCCTGAGAAATTTTTCAGTAGCAGCACAAATGGGTTATAAAAAAGCTAAAGTGATGAGGGCTGAGAAGTTAGAGAAAACAGAGGTGTCTGGGTTTGGGGTCGGGGTGGGACTGCGGGAGCAGTGAAGGAAAAGTCCCGAGAGCCTACCTTTCCACACTCCCCCAGCCTCTCCTTCTCCAGGAGTTTTTGGGACTCCTTTTCCCAATAGGCCATCAGTGCCTCTCTGCTGAATGTGCCCGTAGGGGTTTTCTCGGTCAGACTCTTCTGCCTTAGCCCCACAGGAAGGTTGCGATCAGGTTCAATGTCTTCCAGTTCCCTCTCTAGCTCCTTCAGCTCCTCTGCTGTCAGGGAGGCGAGGAGTTCGTCCTCATCGATGGATTCATATTTACTAAGTCCTCTCCTGTAGCCAAAGGTAGACATGGTCCCTGCTTTGTCAGACCCACAAGGAGCTTGAAGAACCAGACATTCAAGACAGGCAGGAGCAGGCAGGAGGCACGTGGGCAGGCTGGTCAGCAGCTGGTGCAGGAGTGGCTGCAGGAGCCTTTTAAGAGTGGTGACACGGGGCTGTGACAATGCAGCGAGGAGTGAAAGCATAGGCTGTTTTAAGCATCAGACGTCAGCTAGACATTTGAACACAAAGAATGTCACATCAGTGGTGGATGGAGGCCTCAGAACCAGTGGGGATTATTAACATGCTGGCCAGGGCCATATTTAGCTGAGCCTGATAGCTCCTGAGGACAGACAGAAAGTGTTTCAGATAGGGACTAACTCAGTTCTTTTTACTGTGTGTACAAACAACAGGGGAATAAAATTTGTTTTGAAAATGACTTGCCAATACCACCATGGCTATGAAAAGATTCTTTCATTATAATCTTAGGGGTTGAGAAATGACTCCATAGTATTCTATGAGTAGTTATTCTGGTTCTCCTATAAACATATTGTAGGTGGCATTAATGGGGACAGAGGGACATAGTAATACAGTATACTACTTTATAATTTTATTGTACTTTAATATAGTTTTCCTAATCATGAGTCCTGTGAGATGAATAACATGATCCTCATTTACAGATTTTAGCAACTGAAGTTTTGAGAGATTAGGTGAAAAAATTGAAGACACCTGGAAGGGCAAAAGTAGCTTTCTCCACCGCACAGACGGCTTCCTTTTCCTCACCATGAGTAGTAGTTTAAAAAACTAGGGCCGGCCCGGTGGCGCACTGTGCTAGTGCGCCGCTTGGGAAGCGCAGCGGCGCTCCCGCCGAGGGTTCGGATCCCACATACAGACCGGTTCCCGCTCACTGGCTGAGCGAGGCGCGGGAGCAACACCGAGGGTTGCGATCCCGTTGCCGGTCCCCGGTCCGGTACGGGCGCGACACTGAGGGTTGTGATCCGTTGCCGGTCACGAAAAAAGACAAAAAGGAAAAAAAAAAAAAAAACAACTAGATTTGCAGATCAAACTCCAAAAAGGCAAATAATAATATTGGCTATAATTTATTAAGTACTGACACTGGCCAGCCCAGTGCTAAGCATTTTTCCATATTTTTTCTCACTTAATCCTACAGTCCTGTAAGGTGTATATAATGGCCCTTAATTTACTAGTACAGACTCAGAGAAGTTAAGCAACTAGCCCAGGAGCCCAGAGCTAAGAAGTGGTAGAGCTAGAATTTGAACCCTGGTTTGTATCTGCGCTGAAAACTGAAGAGAGGACAATTTGAAATTGTGTACATGCACATATTCTAACAAATGTGATAAAATGTACATATCATAAAAAATAAAATGTAAAATTGATAAAATATAAGACATCATAAAAATAACATGATTTTAGCATACAGATATATAAAAATCTATCAAAATGTGCATGCATAGAAATATGCATTTATCAATACATGTATAATATGTGATATTTTGTTCAAACATTCAGCAATTGAATACGTTGTTTCTAGGTTTGAGTTATTATCAACTATGCTGCTATGAATATTAACACACAAGTCTTTTGAGTGGCTGTAGGTTTTCATTTCTCTTGTGTGTGTGTGTGTGTGTGTGTGTGTGTGTGTGTGTATAGGATGGAGTTACTGGGTTATATGGTAAATTTACTTTTTAAGAGAGTGCAAAACTTTTCCAAAATGGCTGCACCAACTTACATTCCTGCCAGCAATGGATGAGAGTTCCAGTTTCTCCATATCCTCATCTGTTATTGTTTGCTTCCTATTAAAGTCATTTTATAGCTGTAAAGTGGTAATTTTAATTTTAATTCCCTAATAACAATGTTTATTAATAATAATTTTCCATAATTACATGTTAAGCATCATTTCATGTGTTTATTGGCCATCTTATACATTTTTTGGTAAAATATTTTTTCAAGTTTTATGCCCGTTTTTAAATTGGGTTAATTGTCTTATTGAGTTATTGGAGTTCTTTATATATTCTGGACACAAATACTTTATAAGATATATGATTTGTAGACATTTTCTCCTATTGTATGGCTTGTCTTTTAGTGTTTTTTAATGAGCAAACATTTCTAATTTTGATCAAGTCCAATTTTTAATTTTTTTTCTTCTATTGCTTTTGTTTTGTGTTATAGTTTAAGAAATCTTTTCCTAACCCAAGGCAACAGAGATTTACTTCTATGTATTTTTCTAAGAGTTTTATAGTTTCAGATTTTTATACTTAGGTTTATTACCCATTTTGACTTAATTTTTGTGTATGTGTAAGGTACGGCTCTAAATTCATCTTATTGCATGCAGATATTGTCTTAGCAAAATTTATTGAAAAGACCATGTTTTCCCCTATTGAATTTCCTTGGCACCTTGTGAAAAATTGACCTTAAATGATAGGCCTTATTTGTGGACAATCAAATCTGTTCCGTTGATCTACATGTGCAGCCTTATGTCAGTTCCACATGGTCTTAATTACTTTAGCTTTGTGGTACATTTTGAAATCAGGAAGTGTAAGTGTATTAACTTTATTCTTTTGAAAAAATGTTTTGGCTATTTTGTTCTTAACTCACTATGGTATTCTGCCTCCAAAAATAACTATGACACTTTTCAGTGGGGCTAATGAGAGATGATAATGAAATTAGAAATAGTGAGTTTATTGGTGTTTTGTGGGCTTTTATTTTCATCCTGTTGCATATACTTTTGTGTAGCCTCAGTAAAAACATCTTTTTTATTTGAAATGGGTTTGATTTTTGGCAATAACATCAAATCATGATAGTCAAATCTGGAGAATGAGATGAATAATTCAGCTATATGACATTTTAGGTAAAAAGATGAACAATGATTACAGCTGTGTAAAAACTATGTTTTTTAAAAAAAATGAATAGGGAAGAACATACATATATATGACAGCATAAGTTCATTCCTTCAACCGTTCTGTATGGGGAACATATGATATGTTGACCACTGTGCCAGTTTTTGGGTATGTAATTATGTACAAAAAATAGTGGAATTGGGTTTTACATTCTCTCTCTTTCATGTTTGTAATTTTTCTGTAACATTTATATATATATATATATATTTCTCTTTTTTTTTGGTTAATTTTTATTTGACAATTTACTAAACTCTATGTGCCAGATTCTAATTTAATTGCTGGGGTTAAAGCAGTGAACAAAACCAGCAAAGTCCCTTCCTTCATGGAGGTTACGTTCTAATTGGGGGAGACAGATAATATACAAGAATAAATAAACACATAAATACAGAACATGCCAGACAGAAGCTTTACGGAAAAAGAGCAGAGTAAGGGAAGAGGAAAAGACTGCATGGCTAATATTTCGTGTAGGAAAATCTCTGCAATAAGGTGATACTGGGCACAGACCTGGAGAAGTAAGGGCTTGGTGCATGCAGATTATAATACACATACAGGGTGACTATGAAATAATCAATCAGATGATCTTAGAGCCACAGATTCTCAGAGTTCAAAGGGACTTGAATACATGAATGCTCTGTCACTTTTGTAAGTGATCATGCAGTATTTGAACATCTTCAGTGAAAATAGTACATTTCCCAAAACACATTCCATTGTTGGATGGCTCAAATTTTAAGAAAATTCTTCTTTCTTTCTATTCTGTTGAAACTGATCTCTTGAAAATCAGCCCATATGTTTTTACTTTTCTTATTGGACCAACCCAGAATAAATATTGTCTCATGGCAGTTTCTTCTCCGAAATTTTGAATGTCCCTTGATTGACTCTGAAAATGACTCCAGATGAAGAGGCATTAGAGTGTTTTGCTGTGTGGCAGCATCACTAAAACATATTATGCCCTCTCACGAACATTACCTTAAGAACAATGGTCATTTAAATATCCTAGTATGTTTGTTACAAATCACTCTGATTATGATAATAATCAAAGCTCATAAATGATCTTAGTTCACTGGATCCCCCGTGTAAGTATTCTCCATCAACTTAAAATCTATTGCGTAAAGTTTTGCTGAGTGATAAATGCTACCACCTGACCCTGGCTAGACTTAAGTATGATGAATAAATTACATTTCCTTGGAAACTTCTCTACATTAAAATAAATAAATAAATAAATAAATAAATAAATCAATCAATCTGATCTCAATGTGTTCCAAGCATCAGCATATTATATTTTGATATCTTTACTTGGTCTCATTGTATTTTTGAATTGTAATGTTGAATTGTTTTTAGAGTTAATTGCCTTTTGAAAATTAGCATCTTTTGTTAAAAAAAAAGAAAGAAAAAAACCCTTCTATCTTGGGAAGAATTTTTTCATAGCTCTTGATTCCCAGTCAAATATACTCAGATACATACAATCTTAGTATATTGGCAATTCCCTTTATTCAAAATAGAACTTCCTCTTTCAATTTCTTTTCCCCTTTTGGTTTCCTTCTGAAACTACTATAATTTGTTTGTTTATTCAACCCACATTTACCACGTACCTGCTATGGGACAGGTCTGTGCTGGAAGCTAAAATTACAAACAGAAAAACAGAAATTGATCCAGTCTCTGCCCTCAAAGAGATCACACTCATGGGAGAGAGATAGACAGCCGAAAATAACACAGTGCAAAGATCCAGCCAGGTGCCGAGGAGATCAAGCTGTGGAGCCCAGATGAAGAAGCAACCCCGTTGACAAATTGATGGAGTTGGAAAGGTGCAGGAGCTGAAAAAGAGCTGTTGGACTAGAGAGAGCAGCCTCTGAGCAAGTGTGCAGGAGTACGAAAACAAAAAGCAAAAACTGGACTTTGGCATAGGGATGGAGAGTAAGAGGAGATGAGGCAGAAACTGGACCTGATTCACGTACTATTTTGAAGAAATTGTTTTGGTATCTTGCTCACCTCTTTTTTTCTTTCTTTTTTTTTTTTTAACAGCCATCAGCATCATGCCCTTCACATAGTAGTTGCTTATAGATATTGAATACTTTTTATTTGAAAGTTTCTCTAGGCCATGTGAAAGAGTTTTGGACTTTTTATCACTTAGTGTGAAGTGGACATCTCTAATGTCACCCTACAACCATCATCCCATCATCCATAGCTGTGTATACCATATTTGCCTA